GGAGTTAGTTATGCTAAGACAAAAATGCCTCAAAAGAATTCCAGGCCTCTTATTAGCGGTGGATTTGTACTTGTTACCTAGGCCTGGCTGAGGCCCATTTCCCCCAGCACAGGCACCAGTAGAGAACTGATCTCCAGCATGTTCCTCAATGCCGGGTGAAGTAGAAAGACTTCTCATGTGGCCTCCTTTCCATTTTTAGTCACCATTGTTCCTAGTGTCACCTGAGCAGCTCATCGAGTGCAGTGTGGCATGCTCTGAATCCCTCTGCCTGGTCCTTGTCCCTGTTCCCAGGGAGGAAAAGTGGCTGAAACAAAGTGCTGAGTCGGCATCGTGGCTGCTGCAAGGTTCGAGACCCAGCTGGACCCCAGGTGGACTGGAGGCACCACTTTAGAAAGCAGGACTGGCACATTTGGGGCCTGGTCTTACTGGAGAGCGAGTAGATGACAGAAAAAGTGACAGGAAGCGACTTTGTATGTCCTTTGTCTACTTTTCTCCAGTCCAGGAGTAATCCATAGTGGGGGGGACCACATGTCTCCCCAAAGCACCAGGAGATGGTGTTTTGGACTTTGTTGGCCCTCAGTCTCTGGGGTTCTCTGCCCTGTCCTTGTAGTACAAAGGCTGCCTGAGGTGATCTAGAAATGAATGGGAATGGCTGTGTGCCAATAAAACTTTATTTATAAAAATAAGCAGCCAGCTGGCTTTGCTGTGAGACACATAGTTTACAGGCCCTTGCCCTGTAGACTTATAGGTAGGTCCTCTTGTCCTCTGCTTTGTGTATCAGAGTGGCTGGTTGCTTTACACCGTGGGAACAGCTCCTGGAGCTGTGGAGCCTGCCCAGAATTAGAACTCATGGTCTGTGTTCCAGACTTAGAATCCGGCGCTGGGTTCAAAGAGACAGAGGGAAGAAAGCAGGTCTCTGGGAGGTCAAGAGGACCTTCCTTCCTTCCTTCCTTTTTCTCTTTCTCTCTTCTTTTTTCTCTTTTTCTCCTTTCTTCCATCTTTCCTCCCTCCCTCCCTACTTTACCCTCTCCTTCTTCCAAGACCAGACCTTGAACTCTGTATTTGACAATCTGACGCATTCACTCATTGGCTACTGCTTAACCAATTGAACCACACCTCTAACCCCAAAAAGTGTTGGTTGTCTTCTTTCTCTTTTTTGGTCTCTCTCCCTCTCCCTTTCCCCCCCTCCCCCTCCTCTCTCTCTGTTACTCGCCTTCCTCCTCCCTCCCACTACTGAGGCTTGAACTCAGGGCATGGATACTGTCTCAACTTTGAGCTACAACTCCACTTCCAGCTGATTTTGTTTGAAGATACTTTCCTTCCCAGGCTGGATTTGAACCCTGATCCTTATTTCCTGAATATCTAGGATTATGGGCATGAACTTTCCCTCCTGTGTTTGACTGCCCGACCCCATCCTGCTGGACACTTCTTTACTTCTTTTTTTTTGGGGGGGGGTCTAGTTGTGGGGCTTGACCTCTGGGCCTGGGTGCTGTCCCTCAGCTCTTCAGCTCAAGGCTAGCGCTCTACCACTTGAGCCACAGCGCCACTTCCGGCTTTTTTCTTTTTGCTTATGTGGTGCTGGGGAATCGAACCCAGGGCCTCAGGCATGTAAGGCAAGTGCTCTACCACTGAGCCAACTTCCCAGCCCCACTCCTTTACTTCTAAGTTGCTCCATTAGCCTGTCTCTGGTCCTCCCAAGCCCTCCTCCAGACCCTGCATCACATGGGCCAGGCACCATTGTCATCTAAAGACATTCATCCCGGACACACCAAGACCCCACAGTATGGGCTCTCTCCTAGTCCATGCCTTCAGCAACTGCTGTCCCCTACAGCCTCATCCTCAAGCTTCCCCCTTCCTAGCTATGGGCCCCACGTTGCATACGAGGTTTCTAGTCTCAGTTTCTCTGTGCATAAAGGAATTGGATGTGAGGTCTCTTCCAGCCCTGATATTTTGCTCTGTTCTTTCATCTTGGTACACACACACACACATACACACACACACACACACAAGCTTTTACAGTCAGAAAGTGAGCAGTTGGAGTTGTCACTAACTGGGTTAATCTAATAAACAGTAATGCAGCTAGACCTAGCTGGAGCACGCAGGGGCTGGTGGGGGGGGCAGGCCAGGGCTGTTGCTGATAGACCAAGATGCCGGCCTCTGGTGGGAAAGAGAAAGTGGACAACTAGTGTCCAGCATGTCCTGGGGGCAGTGGCCCGCATGAACTTATTTGCAAAGTCCAGTGGGAAGAAGGGAAACCAGGGGTTTCTGGTTAGGGTCTTGCTAGCACAAAGTAAGTATTTTATTGTGGCCCCAGTTTCGAGACCAGGACTTGGTATCTGTCAGCCCCTTTCATTCATTGGCTAGCGCTCTACCAGTTGAGCTACACCTCCAATCCCAGTGCTGTGTTCTTTGACAAAGCCCTCCCTCGCAAAGTATTTGGATCAATGGCATATCTTTGTTTATGTGTGTGCCTGGACTGGGGCTTGAACTCAGGACTTCCTGCTCTTGCTTATCTTTTTCACTCAAGGCAGACACTCTACCACTGCAGATACAGCTCTGCTTCTGACTTTTTGGTTGGCTCAGTGGAGATAGGAGTCTCATAGATTTGTCTGCCAGGGCTGGCTTTGAACCACGATCCTCCTATCTCAGCCTCCTGAGTAGCTGAGATTATAGGTGTGAGCCACTGGTACCTTTGCTATCCAGCTTCATGCCCTTTTAGATACTACCTGCCATAGACCGACGGACTTCAGACCCCTGACTGGTACGTCTGAAGTGGCTTAGGGTGTCAGTTCATCTGGGGGCCGGCATAAAGCTCAGCCAGCAGCTACAGGGGCTGCTGCCATGAGGAGGAGCAACTGGAGGATGCCACGGCACCCACACACAGGGCTGAGGTCTCGCTTGACAAGTGCCATCCCCGGGGACATTTCAAGCAAGCAGGTGCACTTTGGCACTGAAGCAGCCCTTCCAAACTCCCTCCCGGGGGGCCAACTGCTCCCCAGTCCAGGCCACAATGGACAGAAAAAAAGGTCTCTAGATGCTTCATTAAAAAAAATATATCCTTGTTGGAGATCCCAGCTAAGAAACTGACAGTGTTTAGCTGGTACCAACGGCTCACACCTGTCATCCTAGCTACTCAGGAGGCTGAGAGCTGACCCTTGTGATTCAAAGGCAGCCTGGGCAAGAAAATCCTAGACCCTCTTAGCTCCGATGAGCCACCAAGAAGCTAGAAGTAGAGCTGTGGCTCAAGTGGTAGAGTGCTAGCCTTGAGCACAAAACCTCAGGGAAAGTGCCCAGGCCTAGAGTTCAAACCCCAGTATTGGCCAAACAAAACAACAACAAGGCAAAATAAAAACCTGACAGGGTTAATGGGAGATGCCAATATCTTGAGTTCCTAAAGTTGTTGCGGGTAGAGAGTTGCCATAATCCTTCTAGACGGTAGGGGAGATCTCTCAGGAGCAAAGATGACCTTGAGAAAATGTGGATTCTGTCAAAAGAAGAGAAATAATCTCCCTTCTTCACCCTGCTGTCAATAATACCTTCTCCAGGAGCAAGGGAGCTAGCCAGCCAGCGAGCGAGGTGCGGGGTGGATGGGAGCTTTGCTCATTGCTTAGCCTCCTGGCTTGGGAGGCTGTAGCATTTGACTGCATGATAAGAAATTGCCAGACGCTTTCTAATTACAATTATCATCATCATGGATGTCTCTCTTAATTACTTTCTTATAATTAGCTATGCCTTTCCCCCTCAGCATTTGTATACTTTGCAGATTTGCTGACATTTACAAGCCCTAAAATAGGGACATTTTGGGGAGGAGGGAGGGGGGGCAAGGTGCCTGTTCTTTTAAGGGAGGCTGGCACATTTTGTGGGGAGCGGGGCACGGGGGGGGGTGGGGGCTTTGCAGAAGGAAATTAGGGTAAGCAAAAGATGGGACAAGAGCTTGTGAATATAGATGTGGGGGTTGTGGCTTACAGGGTGGGGAGATGCAGGTTTAAACATTGGTGGCAGTGTGTGTGTGTGTGTGCGCGCGCGCACATGCTGCTACTGAGTCTTGAACTTAAGGCCTGGGTGCCATTCCTTAGCTTTTTCCACTCAAGGCTGGTGCTCTACCACTGGCATCTGGCTTTTTGGTTTTTGCTGGTTCACTGGAGATATGAATCTTTTGGAACTTGTCTGCCTGAGTTAGCTTTGAACTGTGATTGTCAGCTCTCAGGCTTCTGAGTAGCTAGGATTACAGGTGTGAGCCACTGGTGTAAGGTAGTTGGGTTTTGTTTTTAGGATGTAAAACTGGGACATAATATGTTCTTCTTTTTTTTTTTTGTCTGTCCTGGGACTTGAACTCTGGGCCTGGGCACTGTCCTTGAGCATCTTTTGCTCAAGGCTAGTGGTCTCCCATTTGAGCTACAGGGCTACTTTTGGCTTTTTCTGTGTATGTGGTACTGAGGAATCGAACCCAGGGTTTTATGCATGCTAGACAAGCACTCTGCCACTAAGCCACATTCCCAAGCTCGTAATACATTCTTTTTTGTCGGTCGTGGGGCTTGAACTCTGAGCCTGGGCGCTGCCCCTGCACTCTTCAGCTCAAGGCGAGCGCTCTACCACTTGAGCCACAGCGCCACTTCTGCTTTTCTAGTGGTTTTTATTGGAGATAAGAGTCTCTTGGACTTTCCTGCCCAGGCTGGCTTTGAACCTCGATCCTCAGATCTCAGCCTCCTGAGTAGCTAGGATGACAGG